AAAAACACGTGCAACTATGCTCTACTTTCCCTAACACCATTCTAGTCTTCCCAATGCCTACACTGCATTCTGTTTATCAGACTAAGACTGGAAGTGTAGTATTGACTGCATTGAACGCAACACTACTTTTCAGTTTGTGTTTTATTGAAAAGCCAAGCTACACCAGAGATCTGTCTGGTTATGGCAAAGATAGATTCAGCGTGTGAGGTCTGGGGTACCAGAAGGTTGTGGTGATCTTGTGTCTATTCCACAAGCAATCAGCAACCAGGTGTTTAATATATTCTCTAATGATCCGTGAAAGGGAGTCAACAGTGAAGTGGCCGAATTTCAGATGACACAAAATTATTAAGGGTAAAGACTCAGTAGAAGAATCTAACAAAGCTAGGTGAATGGGGAGAGGTAATTCAATGCTGACAAATTTAAAATAAGAATGGAAGGAATAATCTGAACTACTCATACACACCGGGATGATATATATAGACTAATATGTGTTACTAGACAGTATTGGAGAGTGGATACTTGAATAGATGGACTATTGGATGGATCAGCATGGTCATTTCTATTTTCCTGTGTTGCTACCCTATTGTTAAAGGATATTCCTGTCTACACAAGTTCTTAACAAAAAAAAAAAAAACAAAAAACAAACAAGGCAAAAGCAGTGAAAGTAGGCAATTCCACTCTAGCCAAGCTCAGTTTATCACTGAGCACACATCTTTGTGTGCTTACATATCTGTGTGAGTATGATTATATACAAGGTAGCTGTAGAACTTTACAAGCCCTGCAGAATTTGCTGACTGATTTCTAAGGATATACATACCTTATCTCATCATAAGTTGATTTACATCCATTGACTGTTATGGGGTGTTGGAGCCTCATGCCAGATGTCTTTCTTACTTGAATAGTCCTTACTCTTACTGGAGGTCTTACTGGAGACAATGTGACTACTCATGACAGGATGCGGTTTAGAATCGGGCCTTATGTGTGTAAGAATCCAGGAACCAAGATGAGAGTGTAGGAGGTAATATACGCACATCAAGAGCGGGTCACCGGTTCTCCTTTTGGCACACAATGAGAGCAAAAAGATGCAGACCCGCAGAGTCTGACTGACTGAGCTGAACATCCTTCTGCTCATTTGGCACCCAACTAGCAAAATAAAACACATTTTGGCTTGGGTATACCAGGGAGTAACTGATTGTTTGTAAGTGTTTGTGATTGATAGTGTGGAAGATAGAGAGGAAAGGGGGAAATTTGATGGCAGCATTAGCTACTGCAGGAACAAGGCAGGTCACCTAGATTTCAGGAAATAGAACATGACTTTATGATAGTGATGAAAAGTCCATTCCAAATTTCCTTTAGGTTGTAGCCCATCCAAGTCAATTTTGCCATAAAGAGGTTGCCTGCTTGCAGCAGAAGAAGCTGTCTGTTTAAAAAAAAAAAATTTATGAACCTAGATTAGCTGTTGCTAAGATAATATTTTATGGCAGTTCCAATCTAAAGTAATTAATGTGCTCCTATCTCCAGAACTATGTCCCTATAGTCAGAATGGTTAAAAAAAAGGGGGGGGGGGGAGATAAAGGGAAAGATTCTGTAAATCTTGTAGGAAAACAGAAATCACAAAAAGTATTGCTAAACTAGTACAGAATGTGTGAAGAATACAAAGGACAACTGTGGTGTCAAGACAGCAAAGTATGTTAAACTCGCTTCCTCTTTTCTGAAATGAGAGAACAATGGAAGGAAGAATAAGTTAATAATAAAATAATTAATAATAGTCATTCTAATAGGGAGAGTTGGAATGTTTTTCCTCCCATGGAAAATTTTGAATGTTCATCAAAAATCTTGAAACCTCCCCTCCCCCACTCAAAAAAAAAATTCAGCTTAAAATTTTCGGTGGTGTGGCTTTTGGTTTTCCAATGAAAAAATCATCCCCTATCCCCAAGGAATGTGGATACTTTCTGTGACAACTTTTGTTTAGTTGAAAACCCAGGTTTTTGTCCAAAAAGAGTACAGAAAATTTTCAACTAGCCGTAACAATATTTCTACTCTTATTTAGATTGTGAGATATATATCTATATCTATATAGGTTTAGATATCGCTACCACTAATTGGCTCATTACACCTACAAACTTTGTATGCAGACAGTCTATGTCTGAATTACTGTGAGCCATGTCCCCCGACTCTGGCCCAGTTCACACTGTCATATGTTTGTTTCACCCATCCACTGCTTTTTGTCTTAAATTAAATCAGATCCATGCACAGAGGTTCATTGAAGCCAAACACTTGGACACAGTTGAGAGCAGATCAAACTCAGTGCACAGTGTAGTTCACAAAAATACAATGAAAATGTTAGGACATATAAATAATTATGAAATAATCCAGAAAGCTATGGAATGCCATTGGCTCACTGTGTGATTTCAGGCAAGTAATGGAACTTCTTGTGCCTTCGTTTTCCCAGTGGATGATTGTGATCAGAATGCTCACTCATCTTTGCAAAGTACATTGAGACCTATGGAATAAAAGCACTGAATAAATGTGAATAATGCATTGGTTTTCATGTTCAGTGTGTCCTTCTTGAGGCACAAGGACCGTGAGCATAGTGCCTGATTGTATTGCTCCAGATTTACACAGGAGGAACCCTGTTGATTACAGTGGAATTACACTGGAATCCAATTGGAGTAACACAGTAGAGTATCAGCACTTTATTTATTTATTTATTTATTTATTTACACTGGAAGCTGAGATTCTCCTTCATGGAAGCTTATGGGTGGGTTTGTTAGCAAGAGGCTCTCACCAGCTCATCTCTGTTAGCAAGTGTTTTGGGCTCTTGCCTGATTTCTGCCTACATTTTGTTTTCAGTTACAACAGTGCCCATCTCAGGTAACTGCACTGAAGTCAGGAGACTTTGAATTTACACTGGTCCAAGTGAGAGCAGAAATTGGACCGCGACATCTAGGCTGGAGAGAGTGAAGCAACAGAGCCAGGAATGGAGTTGTGAGGGTGACACACGTTACAGAGATACAGATACAGTGCATTTTAAATAATTATTTTTAAATATTCATAATTAAACTTACATTGAGGAAATAAATCATTTTGTATTAATTTTTGCTTGAAAGATAGAAGTGGCACTGCATGCAACCTTCTCCTTCACACCTGGATAGGTTAGTTAAAATTTTGTGCAATTTCATGCACAGTGTATTATCTAGCCTACGAATTGAGGAACAACACCCAGTGGAAAGATATCCATTGATGCATTGCACATTGGATTGGATGATGAGGCCCCGATAAGGCATGGTACTTAATCACATACTCAACTTCAAGCATGTGAGTAATTCTGTTGCCAGTGGGAATACTGATTTGCTTAAAGTCAGGCATGTGTGTCAATAGTTTGCTGAATTGGGGCCTGAAAGAAGACATAATAGTGTGAGATCATGTCGTTAAAGACTGTGAGAATGCCTCCACAGCAAAACCTGTGCTCAGGCTAGCCTACTGAGTCAGCTTGAACTCAGCTAGCACAGGTACCAATAACAGCGAAGACAGTGCAGTGTGGGTTTCAGCATAAGTCAGGAATGGACCCTGGGTGCACATTTTACTCACTAGCCCACTCTGGAATCCGTGCTGTGCTGTGCTGTTCACTACCATTTGTTAACCACACTAGTTGGACTGAAGATAGCTCAGGTAGGCTAGTCTGAGCACAGCTTCTGCTGCGTAGACATACCCGAAATGGTAATGCGTGCACAGAAGGGGCAGAGTTAAGGTTGTGAAAGTAACATTTATTTTGGCCATTCTTCATTTGTGCATGCTTTATTGTACAGCCCCACTGTTCTTTTAATGTTTTTTGTATAAGCTAATACGATATTGTGTGTAACTGAGGATTTCAGCATCGCTAAGAAATGAGTTTAAATGCACTATTTATATTTCCTGCTACCCACAATGTAATGCCATTAAGGAAACAGTCCTGAAAATTCTCTGTCCCTGGGACTCTCATCAATTTCAATGGGAGTTCTGATTGTAGAGGGCTTGCACCCTCAAGCCATAGGACACAGCTGACCATATGCTCATGCTGATTAATGACACTTCTCAGGTGCATTGGAAGCACTTGTCTTCACCTCATGCCTCGCTGCACAGCCAAGGTACACCATCAATCAGCATAACCACACAGTCTGCCGTTTGTTATCCTTTAATTAAACAGCACAGATAATTTCTGCAATTATTTCCAATATAAATATTGTCCGATGCCTCGGCTCTCTTTAGCCTTATCAGGGGAATATAAACAATGAGAGAGGAATGAAATATACATTTGAGCAAAACAACATACACAGATATTAGTTAACCCTATAAAAATATCTTTAGCTTGACAAACCAAGGGTGAATAGAATGGTCCACCAAGCACAGTGGTTCAGGGTGAGAATACTGAAATTATTTATTAAAAAATAAATCCATTTACTTACCTCACAGGGATGTTGTGAGGCATGATTAATTAATGTCTACCGAGGGGCTGATCCAAAGTTCAGTGAAGCCAATAAATGTCTTTCCCACTAATTCCAATGGACTTTTGTTCAGGGCTTTGAGGTATCTGGATGAAAGCCACTATGGAAGTGCATAGTACTATTCCTATTATGTGAAATTCACACTTGGGCAGAGAGCCAGAAGAAGACCTTGGCATCAGTGGGGATTAAGTGGTACATTGGCTTTGTGCAAGCTTTCTGCATGGAGTGAATTTCACTTATTCAGTGTATTGGGAAATCGTAATAAAAATGCATGGCTCGTTTCTCCTTTCCGAAGTTCCTTATAAGCTCTAACTTTGGACTTATGGTGGGATTTTTAAAAGGACTCGGCATTGGCTTAGCTCTGCTGCCGAGCAGAAATCAATGGTAAAACACCTGCTGCCTTCAGTGGGAGGGGACAGGAGTCTGCACTGACGCCTTTTGAAAATCCCACTCTAAGGCTGCAAATTTGTTTCCTTTTCTATTTGCTGAGCACCCCTACTGCCTTGTGTTTTTCAGAGGATGCTTATAAAACTCAAGTGCGAATAGATGACGAACCAGCTTACTTGGACATTCTAGACACTGCTGGACAGGTGAGTAGTTTCTTAATGTATACTTCTGTAACAGAGATAAAAGCAAAGACCTTCAATATATGGGTCACAAGGATGGAGACAAGCTTCACTATTCAGGCACGAAAGGAACAGTGTTGGCACAACATGTGTGAATTAGTACAAAAGAGATCAAGGGGAGCATCAGAAATATAATGTGACTCAGTTACCTGACCAGTAGAGATCGGCAACATTAGAGCAAATGATTAGCACAATAAAGGTTTTTCACATACACACATGGAGAACGTGTTGTAATAAAGACATGCGTAAATGTTGCTGCACATTTGATCTTAATGTTTCTGATGTCTCTAGTCAATAATACCAGTCATTTGGTTCTCTCCCCCAAAATTCTCCTGTTCCTAGTAAGCAAAACTCTGTCATGTTTTTTAGCTAGGACAAGGCAGTAGGAAAATCTGAAAGTGCCATTTTTTTATGATTTCTTATGTATAAATTTATTGATTTTGATATAATTGCTGTAGAGATATAAGGCAAACATAACCATTAAAAGAGGGATTTTTCTAAAGTACTCAGTGTCCCCCTAACACTAGTCTCAGTGAAGTGGCTGGACCAACACTGAGTACTTCTGAAGTTCCCACCCTAAATGTCAAGCTTCACCAGCCACTGTGATTTCCAAGAGATGAGGTACAAAATCCTCAAAAGATGTCCCAGCAGCCCACATTTCTCCATGTATTTCACAACTTTCTGATTTGTAGTGATTCAGGGAGTATCGTACTAAGAGTCAGGACACAAATGTTCTTCTGTTGCACTGTAGCGTATGGAGAAGCCACAGCTCCGTTTCCCTGTCCATTTAAAAAAAAAGAGTATAAAACATACACAGATTTGTGGAGCCTCTTAAAAGTGTTTAGAGCTATCACTGAGTCAGAGGGCCAGATTCTCAGCTTGTATGAATCAGTGCAGCTCCGTTGACTTCATTGACTATCCTGACTTATACCAGCTGAAGATTTGACCCAAAATTTTAGCTTTGTTTTAACACATTATATGTGGTTGAGTTAGTACGTATTTTAAGAAAGCATAACTCAATGTCCACCATATCTACCGAGCTACAGTGACTGAAGCAGGCTGTTGCATCAGAATTATTATTTTAAAAGAGGTTAAAAGGAGGACATTTCTCTTTTTTTAAATATTCTCTATAATAATTTATGATAGTTTTATGGGGCTTCACTCGGGGCCAGCAGGTCTAGTGGCCAAGCCATGGCTCAGCGGTCTCTCAGAGTCTTGGAATGGCCTTGCCAGGCAATCTGAAGCCTAGCGGGCGAGTTACAGTTCTTCCTGGGTTCTCCTGACTGGGGGGAGGGGAAGGGGGGGGAGGGGAGAAGGGTACAGGAACCCAGGCCCTCCCTTTCCACCAAGTCCCAGCCAGTGCCCAAGGGGGAAGATGTGAAGAGAGTCTTAGTCTCCTCTAGCAGGTGCAACAGACCAGTCTCCCCCTGGACTCCTTCCTACCTCCCCTGTTCTCTCTTTAGTTTGGAGTGTGGTCCCAGCACTCAGCCTCCTTCTCAAATTGTTGCTCAAACAGTCTCAATGATTCAGACAGTCAGTTGGGGTTTCCTTGCTCACTTTTCAGTGTCCAATAGTTCTCCCTTGTCAGGGAAAAGCAAGGGAGTAAAAGGAGTCAGGATCTTGGCCTACCAGTCCGGTCTTAACCACATTCTGGACCCTTCGACTGTTAGGGTGACCACACAGCAAGTGTGAAAAATCAGGATGGGGGTGGTGGGGTAATAGACACCTATATAATAAAAAAAAAAAAACTAAATAAAAGTACTGTCCCTATCAAATCGGGACATCTGGTTACCCTATCCCCCGTGGACACCTCGGTGCCAGAAGCTGCAACCTGGCTGCGGACGTCTCTCCTTCACTCTCCTCCCTGCTTGACTTTTGGAGTCCCCTTTTAAGCAGGTCCTCCATTTGGGACATTATCTGCAGCTGCTGAGGGGCAGGGTCTTTTTGGCCCAATACTGCTCCACAAGTCCCTTAGCTGTGGCCTAGTCAACACTATAAAATTAGGCTGGTTTAATTGTTTTGGTCAGGGATATGACAAATCCACTACCCTGAGCAGCGTCGTTAAGCCAGCCTAAGTCCTTGTATAGATAGCACTAGGTTGATGGAAGAATTCTTCCATTGACTTAGCTACTACCTCTTGGGGAGGTAGATTACCTATGCCAGTGGGAGAACCCTTCCCATCAGCATAGGTAAAGTCTATGCTGAAGTGCTACAGTGGCACAGCTGTTTTAAGTGTAGACAAGCCCTTAATATGGGGTATGTAAGCCCCATCAAAATAATATAATAATCATCTCACAGTCTTGTACAACTGAGGCCTAAAAGATAGTTTCAGCTGTTAAAGAAAGTCACTTACAGTTTAGTTTAGGATAACCACTTTAATTGGATGGAAGGAAGGGAAAACCATATGAAAAATAAGAAACAGCACTTTAGTTTAAGGTTACAGAGTAGCCGTGTTTAGTCTGTATTCGCAAAAAAAAAAAAAAAAAGGAGGACTTGTGGCACCTTAGAGACTAACAAATTTATTTTAAGGTATCTTTCGGGAAAACTCCGTTTCCCTTAGCATATCATGTATGTTTCTCTCAAATGTACATTTCTACTGCCCTCCGGTATACAATGGAATTATCATAAGCTTCAATGTAATGTTTACAATGGTAGTTATCAGGTTTAATACATTTCAATAATCTTAAAAAAAGGACGGGTGGTCACCTGCCTTAGCTACTTTTTTATTGTGTTAGTTTACAACGTTTTATCATTTAAACTTTGAACACCATATGACTCCATGAGCCTTCTGAAGTTATGTAACTTGCCTACCATGAATTCCAGGTTTGAGAGTTTGATATAAAAGTGTCATAAATATAAAGGGAAGGATAACAACCTTTATGTATGCAGTAACATAAAATCCCTCCTGGCCAGAGGTACAGAATCACTTACCTGTAAGAGGTTAATCAGTTTAATTAACCTTGTTGGAACCTGACCAGAAGGACCAATGGAGAGAGAAGATACTTTCAAATCTGGGGGGGCAGGGAAGGTTTTGTTTGGGCTCTCTTTGTTTGTTCCCTCTTGGGACAGAGAGAGAGACCAAGCAGGTAAACCAGCTCCTAAAAAAAGATCCTGAAATGATATTTCTAAATTTACAGAAATTGTAAGTAATAGCAAGGAAATGTGTTAGATTATCTTATGTTTTTAGCTTGTGAATTTCCCCTATGCTAAGAGGGAGGCTTATTCCTGTTTTTGTAACTTTGAAGTTGAGCCTAGAGGGGAATCCTCTGTTTTAAATCTTTTTATTACCCTGTAAAATTACCTTCCATCCTGATTTTACAGAGGTGCTTCTTTTACTTTTTTCTTTATAATAAATTTCTTCTTTTAAGAACCCGATTGATTTTTAGTGCCCTAAAAATAAAGAGTCTGGTCCGTACTTTTATTAAAGGCAATTGGTTGGTATATTATTCTCAAGCCTCCCCAGGGGTGGGGAGTGAAGGGGGTGAAGGGGCTTGGGGGAATATTTTGGGGAAACAGGGACTCCAAGTGGCCCTTTTCCTGAATCTTTGGCTAAATCACTCGGTGGTGGCACCAATACCATCCAAGGACAAGGAAAGTATTTTTGCCTTGGGGAAGTTTTAACCTAAGCTGGTAGAAATAAGCTTGGGGGGTCTTTCATGCGGGTCCCCATATCTGTACCCCAGAGTTCAGAGTGGGGAGAAGAACCCTGACAAAGGGCAAGCAATTCCATATGCTGTATAGAATTAAATCAAATGCATAGAGAATATTTCCATTAAAACTGCTCCTTTGCTAGAATATACCCCTCAAAAAGGGCCAGTATGCTAGTGTAAAATTGGAGTAACTTCACTGAAGAGTTGTTTCCAGACATGCATTAGTGTAAAAGAAAGCAGAATTGTCCCAATAAAATCTGGTGAATTATTTTTATAGAAGATAATGTCATCACAAAGGTAGAAGTAGCAAATGTGAGCTTCCTAAAATCCCATCTAAAATATCTTTAATCTTTTGCCTGTTTAGTATATACATAAATTGTAACTTTGCACTTCTGACCAAATGCTGTGATTCGTTCCCATTTAATATCTTTATGCTAGAATTGGGCCCAGACTGAAAAGTTTATATCTGGTATATATCTGAATTTGTATCAAAATCTGGGGTGTTCAGATAAGGGACTGTGGGGAGGGGAGTTTGGGGCCATTGTAAACATAGATGCCATTTGAGAAATATATTTCTGGTTTTGAACCTCAGCAACTAGTTTAAAAGAAAAACAGGTGACCAAGCCATCAAGCTAAGGTGATTTTGAATCCAGTCAATTGCTTTTTTCTTCTCCTTAAATGGAGACCATCAAACCTGAGCAAGCTCTCATCACAAAAAAAGAGTCCAAATGTTCTGTGAATCCTAAATTACTGCCTCTCTGCACCACTGGTCCTTCTCTGCTGTCACTCTTGCTTGCTGCTGGCCGGAGCTATACTGGATCCATGCTTCTTGTGTCATCTCCTACCACAGGTGTGTCTATGCTTTCTTCTCTGCCCTTACTTGGTGTGACATGTTGAATGTTGTGTTTTACTACGGTATATGAATATCTCCTTCTTCTGTTAATCAGTGCATTGAAGTTGCCCAGCTCCTATTCTGTTTGCATTAGAGCTGGTTGGAAAGCAAAATTTCCATCCCATGAGAAACTGTACTAGTTCTATCTTTCATTTCATCCCAAACTGGGACAAAAAGTTAAAATATGGGAAAATTTCCCAGAACGAAAAGTTCAGAATATTTTAATTTGGAAATGAGAAAACAAAAAAAATGACTACTTTTTTGATTGAGTTGAAATGTCTATTCAACATGAACAGTGTCATTTTGAACTGACATTTCAGCTTAAAATGATGTAAGAATGAAACTGGAAGTCAAAATGTCAGTTTGAAACAAAATGTAAAACATAAAAACATTTTAAAATGAAACCTTTGGCTTCCTTTCAA